ACAATCAAGCAGACTGACGACACAATTCAGAATTACTCTTTTGTAATTTTTTAAGAAATTATGATTTAAAAACTGTACTAATGAAGTCGGAAATATAATTGAATCGGTCATTTCAAAAAGTGCTTAAGTCCACAATTTTCAAAAACTAACTTTTTGTGCGGAAAAGACTCCTCTAAGATAAACTCACGTTGTGTGCAAAAACGACATCAGTCTGTACACAATCTGTTGAAATACTCTACAACTAAAATTGAAGGTCTGTGCAAAAACAAGGCGACTCCAGGACGTATTCAGTTTTTGCTGTGAATTTGTAAACATATTTTCTAAGAATTTGTTGTTGTATGAGATCGTTTATGTTACCATGTTTTTATTTCAGTTTTCATTAATGTGTTTTGTTGTGAGGTTAAGAGCTTGACAACGATTAATTTAAATTTATTGGTTTTTGTTATTTAAGCAAAGAAATAATATTACTACTTCATCTGACGATAGTGTACACGAACATTTACCATTAAAAAAGAGAATACCCAATCCAGTTACACTGGATTTACCCAATAAAAAGGTTTACACACTAACTATAAAGGAAATATTGTACCGGCTAGAGCTACAGGACCTAAATGCAAGTAAGTAATAATTTATGATGTTATGTAGGTTTACAGAGGTTTGTTTATTACTGTTTACCACCCTACAATCTAATTCATTAGATTCATTCGAACCTGCCTTTTCCGCTGTTACCGTTGCCCTACCGTTCGTAAAGGGCCAAGTAACAACAGCCTCTGCAGTGCCCAACAGTATTCTGTTACTGGAGGCTCAGTCTGTATTGCCGCCTCCTGATATGGTGAACGTTAATGTAACGTGCCCTACTCCATTGTTTACTCTCTCTCAGGTTCAAACTTTTGCTAACCAAACCACGCACTAGTGGCTTCTCATACTTTAAAAAGTTCTGCAAATATCAACAATATCTTGACCAGTGCCAATAACTTGAAAAGGATACACATACATTATTCTCAACTATGCTCACTTTAAAAAACTCACAGTTTCCAATTCTATAAAATATATTCAAGTTCTCGTGCCTTTTCAAATGAATTCAATCTGATATCCACTTCAGAAGTTAATCTTGACTTAGTTAACAGCTTCTCTAAGGTCTTAGGTATTAACAGGTCACCGTATCAAGACGATTTCTCTTTTAATTTGCCTGTTTGCGAAAAGGCGCCTCCCTTAACAAACAGAAAATTATGTGCCTATTTGTCTCGAATGTATAACTCCTTAGGAAAACTCTTATCTTTTATAGTCCACTCTAAATCTTTCGTACAACGCCTCTGGTCATTGCCCTTAGACTGGGACAATGATATATTAGATGACATATTGATCTCGGATTGGAAATCATTATTGGATACATTCCAATCAATATATAAAATTTCATTTCCCATATGCCTGACGCTTCCACTGCTTGTATCGCACATGCTACTACGACAAAGTAGGAGCAAGTGGAACATCGCTACTGATCTTTTAAAGATAGGTGATGTGGTAGTAATCAAAGATGAAGAGACTTCCCCACTCCTCTGGCCTCTGGCAAAATTAATCGAATTGCTCCCAGGCAAGGATTCTCTTGCTCAAACAGGTGTATCCACACCTAATTGCGAATACCTTAGGTTTATAAAGAAAGCTAGGTTACCTTTTAACCAATAGTGGCGCTTTCAGCCAAATATATAGCTTCTTATTTCTATAAGTTAGACTTTAGTTTCACTAGATTTTAAATAGTTCTTAGTTATTCTTATTTTTTTACAACAATATCTCTAATTTATACCGATTTACCCTCACTCTCGAAGTAACTATTTGATACCCTATCCCAGTGGCGTAACTCTTCTCGCCCACCCCCAGTATGTTCAATTTTTTCACATGCAAAAAATCATGCCAATGTTCGCTGTATTTTTAACTATCCTTATATCACAATTTTACAATCATTATCTTAGTCCAACCCTTAATAACCCTTCCTACTTACACTTTAACCCCCCTCCATTACAAATACAGACAGTTTCAAGATACCAAAGAAGAAAGACTCTCTCTTGAAGGTCGGCTGTCGCTAAGGACAGACCATTCTCTGTCTCTTCGCTTATCAAGAAGAACAGCATCTATCTTAGCTGTTTTTCTATCGCTAATTATCTCTCTCTCGTTTTAGTTACGCGAAAAATTACCCCAAAATCTTTTAAATCGTGTACAGACAAAGTGTGCTCTATCTCGCAAAGTCTTAATACCGCGAAACACGTGTTTAGAAAAACCGCGAGTGTGCCCGGACATATTTCGCATAATAGCAAAAACCGCGAGAGTGTGGAGCAGAAAAACCGCGAGAGTGTGGAGCAGGAATATTGGTAAGACTTTATATAAACTTAATTTGCTATTGTCTGTATACCTTTTACTACATATCCTAATTTAATTGAACCAGCCCTATATAATACAGTCCACATACACTGAAATTATACTAATAATTTCCCATATATGTACACCCTTTTTGTACAAGATCAATGAACACTTATTTCAAGGATAAAAATCGGCCTTTTTTGTAATATTAGTAACAGGTTTAATATCACCATACAGGAATTTATTAGCTACAAACTTATTTTATGTTCTAGTGTGCTAGAAATTTTAAAAATATCTTTTCTTTTTAGATGCAGAGCAAGATTTTCTTAAGAAGAATTGCCTTTTTGTGTTGACACACTAAACAACTTTTCCACTAAAAAGTTAGCAAGATATATTCTTGCAGCAAAATATCGAAAAGGTGCTAATTCAGAGACATAATTTCCGAAAAGAAAGAGCAGTGTTGAAAGAATTTCAATTCACCTATCATGTTCCAAATTGAAAAGAGAACGAAAATGTCTGTAAAAAGGCTCTTACTTCGATTTATGGGATATCAGAAGGTCGTGTAAAAAGAATTTGCAGCTTGCTTCTTAAGTCTTGTGATCACCCGTGATAGGCGAGGACAACACCCGAAATGGAATACCAAATCCTCTGAAGTTCATAAGCTCATTTATGATCATATTTTGGCATTTCCTAGAAAACAGACACACTATGAAAGTAAAAAAATGGAATACCTTGATGCACGCCTAGACGTCAAAACCATACATAGTATTTGTAAAGAGAAACATCAAAATGTGGATGTTAAGTATAAATAATACACAAAATATTTTAAAGAACAGTTTTCTTTGCGTTTTGGTAGACCCAAGTTGATACCCGTATTAAGTGCGAAGAATTGGTTACAAAAATCAACAGCCAGTTCCTAGGAGCACATGCCTACGTACCGCAGAAGCTGAACTAGTGGTTCACAAAACAAGGTCCAAGAAATTTCACAAGATAAATTTGTGGGATATTTGGAAATCGAGAGCGCAGTTCCACGTTCGAGTTTATGCAAAATCTTCCTCTGCCCTGTATACCGATACAAGAGATATTTTATTTGCGTCAACTATGAGTGAACTGCTTCGGTATAAAAAATGTTAAAACCAAGGAATCTGTGTTTTACGTTTATCATGAAGGCCAAGCCAATAAAGGCGCTAATGAAGTTTATTCCATGTTGTCCCATTATTTTGAAACTTTTTTACACGATAACGTACAAGAAGTATTTTTGTTCAGCGACAACTGTACTGGACAAACTAAGAACCATACGATGATCAGGTTTTTGCTCTCATTGACGGATACAGGCAGATTTTCCAAAATAATCCATTACTTTCCAATCAGAGGACATTCATTTTTGCCGAATGATCGAGATTTTGGGGTGCTGAAATCAAAAATTAAGAAGCATGACAAATTTTCCGTTTTTGAGATGAAGACACGTCAGATATTAGATTATCGCAATTGGTGGCCAACATATTACAAGCGAAACTGCCTCTCCAATGAAAGCCTATGTTCAAAGGTACAAAAGCAACAAAAAAGAACCTTCTCTCCATCGTCGTTTATGTCGTTTGAATAGGATAATCATGCAAAAGGTACAGTTGTGACTCAGGATTTTATTGACGGCTTCATTAGTCATACGTTTCATCTTTCCAAAACCAAACGCCCAGTATTGCAACCAAAATCATTAGCTTACCCAAATAATGCTGTGGCCATTAATCCCAAAAAATTGCAAATATCAAGCAAGTTCAAAACAGCATTTTAGAAGAATATAAACCATTTTACGAGAAAATTTTTCATTGGCCTACCAATGAGCATGGTGACAACATAGCCCCTGAGTCAGATAATAAATTTGATTTTGTTCCATAATATTCATCATTCAAACTTCGCTTATCTACTGCTGGACATAGATCTCCCTCATAATTTTCCATCTATTTCGATCTTGTGCCTCTTGCATCAAATTCCTATGACAATGTTTTAGATCGTCAGTCCAACGTGTTGGTGGACACACAAATTAGTCCAACGCGGTGGTGGATTCGGTAGGCATCATCTCTTGGTCTCCATTCCAGTATCCGCTTTGTCCATCTATTATCTGGCATTCGAGCCACGTGACCTGCCCAGTTCCATTTCAGTGTTGCTACTCTCTCTACTGCATCAGCCACTCCTGTTCTTTGTCGTAGCTGGCGATTTGGTCGTAGCCATAATATTATTATTTAATAATTACCAGTTTTTGTAGTTACTCTACTTTCGAAATAAAAATATAAATGGTTGTATTTCTGTTTTTTTTTCGTTTTCATCCAAAAACAGCATTAGTCCAATATTTCAAAAATCATTTTTCAAAAAAACTTTATTTTTTTCGAGACCATTTATATATAATTATGATTATACACAACACAATTACAATACAACTTTGGATTTTGAGGTGATACATTTCATCCATCTTTCAACTATTTAGTTTTTTTGCTCTCCTGTAAAATTAGGAATATATGACTCGTGTTGTTTTTGAAATGACCGATTCAGTTATTTAGCATTAAAATAGAAGATACAATTTATTTGGATATTCTGTTGTATATTATTCATACGAAAAAGAAGAGACATATGGACGTCATTTTAAAATAACTATACATTTGTCATTTATTTGAAAATTTTTACTTAATACGTAAGAAATTATTATAGAATTAATTTTATTCGAACAAATATGAATAACGATAACGATCAAGTAGATAAAAAGTGGGCATATTACGCCCCTTTCGAAGTAGTAATACACAATACCCCAGAAGATTGTTGGGTCTCCTTTCTTGGTAAAGTTTTTGATATTACTTCGATAGTTGAACGATACAGAAATGAAAGATGTGTACTTCCTCTATTGGCAATGGCAGGAAAGGATATCACTGAATGGTTTGATGAAGCTACCGGAGATATTCAACATTATATTCACCCTGAGACTGGATGCCGTGTGCCGTACTGTCCTCATGGACCTATTCCCGATGTTAGTGTCCAAGTGCCTGCTACAGATTGGGAGCCGTTAGATAGACCGCCTTGGTGGATGGACGAACAGTAAGTAATTTTCTACAAAACTAAAGGCATTTGATCCGCCCTTTAACAATATCTAAAATAACACAAATGTAAACTTATTTTTAATAGTTATATTAAATTGGTCTAATCTTGACTCTGATACATCGAAGCACTAATATAATAGTTTAGAAGATAACGATAAGACAATAATAATAAATTTAAGGGGCAACCACCCGCACAACAAAAGAGAAAAAAACAACTAAAGGTAGTCGAAAGATAAGTAAATTAAGACTAATCATAGCAAACGACTATGAGCCAGGAATGCAGATCAAACTTCTTTTAGGTGAATACTTTTGAATTTAATGGTTAACATTCTTAGGAGGTTTAATACAGGTTAATGGTTAACATTCTTGGGAGGTGAACAGCTAAATATCGCTTCATCTCCTCAGTGGCGTTCTTAGGGTGCACATTTTCGGTAGTTTGTTTTGCTTTATTTGTACTAGAGTTTTGTATGGATGACACAGTTACCAGTGTAAAATACCTTGATATTCTTCAGCATCTAAATTATTCGTGAAATAATCAATTTATTTCCAAATATGGCAGTGTGGTTTCAACAGGATGACGCAACTGTACACTATCATTAAATTGTTAGGCAATATTTGAATACCAGTTTCCCTCAGATGAATTGGTGAAAGAGGTGCAATTGAATGGCTGGCAAGATCTCCCGACTTAACTCCACTTAATTTTTTTCATGAGGATATCTTAAGAGCCGGCTCTATGTAAACAGAGCAATTAATTTAAATGATTTAAAGGATCGCATACGTCAGGAAATGCAGGCAGTTTCTCCAGAAATGATCAATGATTCTATTCGAAACTTCCAAGATAGATTGTATTATTGCCGAGAAACACACAACTAAACCTTTCAGCACCACCAAAAAATGCATTTTTTTCACTTTAATTGATACTTTTCAAAATTAATATAAATTGTTCAACAATTACATGTATTGGAAAATTTCTTATATTTTATTAGTGGTATGGTGTATTACATTAGATTTTTGATATTTTGCTAAAAACAGGAAAAAATAAGCTTTTCTATGATATAACACTCGACTTGCTATTTAAAACAAAATCAAGATGGCGGCGATACGCTAAACATCTCATTATTTATCCTAAAATTTCATAAATATATATTATAAATACATCAATTGCTATTTAACTGGGAATAAGCCACAATTAAAGATAAAAATACGTTTATTGACGTTTCAATTTCCACTTCGGAAATCGTTCTCAAAATACAAACAGTAAATTAAATAAATTTTGTTAAAAAAACAAAAATTTGTTTAATTTACTGTTTGTATTTTGAGAACGATTTCCGAAGTGGAAATTGAAACGTCAATAAACGTATTTTTATCTTTAATTGTGGCTTATTCCCAGTTAAATAGCAATTAATTTAAAATGCCACAAGAAAATAGCTTCGGAACAATATAATTACATCAATTTCCATATAAATTTTTGAAAGAACATTACCTATTTTTTGTGTGCAAAAGTTATTAATATATTATGTTTGTAAATGGATGAGGTATTAACTTTGAAAAGTTTGTCTCTACATGTCTAAATTTTTGAAAAAAATGAATACATGAAAAAATATACTTCATACAAATTTTATCTAGAATTTTATGCAGAATCTAAAAGGGTGTTCTACTTAAAATAACAAATTTGCTGTTCGCTTCCGCTATAACCGGAAGTGGCATGTCTGTCAAAAAAATATATATATATATATATATAAGTTTTATACAAAATTAATGTAAGTAATAATGAAGTTTTTAACCCATTTGGTCCCACTGTACTCATCTAAGTACAGCAGCAAAAATGGCCTAGTAGTGACACATCTGGCAAAAAAGTGGTACTCCACGTGTATGTCCGATTCTATTAGGAAGTGTTCTACTAGATTTTCACAAATTATACCCTAGGTGGCGCTCTTCTTCGTATTTTGACCGCAGTAATTATAACCTAACCTCGATATTTCTGTTGGATTATTGAAGTGCTTGTTATTTTGTGATTTTGATATTATTTATCATTTTTTTAACTTTTACTGTTGTAAGGGTAAGTACTAGTAATGTTTATTTATTCAGTATAAGATTTTTTTATTATTTTTGTTTTTATGTTACAAAATAGACCTGTACTCGTCTGAGTACAGTGGGTTTGTATGAGATCAAAATGATTAAATGGTTTTTTATTGTTTTAGGTTCAATATTGGTATTATAATGGATTTTCAAGAATTGCCGCCTATTAGTCCCATTGGGTTTTATGGAAAACGTTATAGAACTCTTGCTTTAGCTTCAGATGACATAGCGAGTTCCACTCATAAAGATGCATCAGTGGTAGTCATTCCTCCTGAGATTGACTATCAAACTGACAATGACGACATAGATGAGGATGATCTTCAGACTCAAAGCCTTCCGAATGACGTTCCCGGAGAAATAGAGGTTTATTACACGAGTGATGACTCTGATGACGACGAAGAAGACAATCTTCCTCTTGCCATTAGAAGAGAAAATTTACTGAAGAGTCAAAATAAAACAAAGGAATCTGACTGGACGGAAGAAATTACTGACATTAGTATGACATCTACAACAGGTTACGAGGGTCGTCTGGATAATATGAAAGAACAAATCCGAGGTAAATATCCTATAGAAATATTTGAGAAATTTTTCGACAATGAAATTATTGAATATATTACACAGCAGACAAATTTATATGCCGCTCAAAATAATAACCATCAATTTCATGTAACGCAGGAAGAGATAAAGATATTTCTGGCTGTTTTACTTTTTACTGGATACCATAGATTGCCACGAGAGCGCAACTATTGGTGTTTAGATGAGGATCTTCATATTCCCTTCGTGGCTAATGCAATTTCAAGGAACCGTTTCCAAGAAATTAAAAAATACCTACATTTGGCAGATAATTCGAAAATTGATACAAGGGACAAAATGTATAAAGTGAGGCCTCTCATGAACAAACTAAATAAAAAATTTCAACAATTTGGCATATTCCACAAAGACTTATCAATTGATGAAGCGATGATAAAGTATTTTGGGCATCACTCATCAAAACAGTTCATAAGGGGAAAGCCAGTAAGATTCGGGTACAAGGACTGGATGCTTTGTAGTTCAACTGGTTATTGCTACAATTTTGACACATATTGTGGAGCATCAGTGGATAAACCAAAAGTCGCGGCGTTGCCTTTAGGATCACAAGTTGTTCTAAAAATGCTTGATGTCGTTGATGTGCCTACTGATCACGAAGTATTTTTTGACAATTATTTTACTAGTTACAATTTGATGGAAACTTTAAAAGAGAAGGGCTTTAGAGCAACAGGCACAGCAAGAGAAAATCGTATAAAAAAATGTCCTTTGTTACCTTCCGCTGTAATTAAAAAGAAGAATCGTGGATATTTCGAATATCGCTTTGACAAGACAAGTCTACTACTTTTTGTAAAATGGAACGACAACAATGTTGTCACAATGGCATCAAATTACGATAGTATTGAACCACTTTCAAAAGTGAACCGTTGGAGTGCTGCTGCCAAACAAAAAATTGATGTACCCCAACCAAATCTTTTCTCATCATACAATGCTTGGGCGGTGTTGATCTCTTTGACCAATCGGTTAATAACTACCGAGTCAGTATACAAGGTAAAAAATGGTGGTGGCCCATTTTTACCCACATGCTCAACTCAGCTCTTGTTAACTCGTGGAGGTTACAAATATTTGCTGGAAATAAAGAAATGGATCTTTTGGATTTTCAACGAGATGTAGTACGTCATTATTTAAGAAGTTTTGGGAAATCTACTTATTCTAAAAAACGACTAGCAGGATCTGTACCAATTAGTCTAAAAATGGATGGAAGCGGTCATTTTCCTAAGAAAATAGACAAACAACTTCGATGTCGCTTATGCCATCAAAGAGTACGTTGGACTTGTATAAAGTGTGAAGTTACTCTGTGTATTGAACGTGATTGTTTTGTACAATTTCATACTCGTTAGATTATAATACAGGATGTAACCAAGTATGTACCTATATATAAGAAGAAAATAAAATATTTTCATTTTTACACAATGTTTTATATTTTTGACTCCCGATCAGCCCATTGTACTCGTATGAGTACACCTACTTTTTGCTAAAAATTTAAATTTTTTTTATCAAATAACAATGAATTGTTACTATTTAACCCAGATTCAACAAGGATATTCAAAAAAATCTTGTATTATCGAAAAAAAAAATGTCGTGGGATCAAATGGGTTAAAATCGTTGGTTCAAAAATAACTAGGTTAAATTTTGTTGATATTTGTTGTTAATATTGCTGCCGTTATTGGTATTTGTCAGTTATTCTAATGAATAATTCTACTTAATTTATAATTTATTTATTTACCACGATATTTTGCAGATACCAAATAGGTTTGTTAACCAAAAGAGTTCGACCATTACGAGTTGTAAATATGGTTTGTCCGTTTTTTAAAGAAGTCTTAATAAATGTTTGCAGTGAAGACAACTTTTACAGGATTGAAGAGCGATACAATTTATTCAACAGCGATGCAGCCAGCTATACATGGAGGTAAGTGAATATCCAGATTGTTTATATATTCACTTTGTAATCTTAATGGGTAAAATATATTTCAATTTATTAGAATATCAGCATTTTTGTTTCTGCTATCAGTGTTTGAACCTAAACGAAACACTTATAATTATTAAAGAATGTACATAATTAATTAAAGTTAAGCTTGAAAAATAAAGAGCCTAAAATATATAAACTCTCAATCTACAATCAGAGCATAGAAAAAGTAATGACATTCAAATACTTGGGCGTAAATATAACAAGTGACAGAAATCTAAAAGACGAAATAAGAGCTCAAACAATAAAGGCATCACTAATATCAGGATCTCTAAGAGACATATTTTGGGATAAGACATGCGTAAGACCTATCATGACCTATGCAATAGAGACCACTGCAGAAAACAAGAACGAAGAGAGTGTTAAGAACCACTTAAATGTGAACTGCTACTACAAGTAAACACAGAGTTTATTCCTATAGTTTATTTTTATGAACGAGAGAGTAATTAGCATAATTTTAACTGGTATCTCAGACCACTCCATGGGCGTGCTCAAGATTAATTGAAAAATTACTTTGAATAATTGTAAAAAATAAATGAATTATTTCAGTGTTATAAAGTGTTATGTGTATGTAAACAAAAGTGACCTTTTTTATCACACACTATATTAGAACTGACTGGCCTACATTAAAAAGGGTTTTAAAAAATTCACATTTTTTTTAATTTTTAAAAATTACAAAAGAGAAAAAGAGTTTTTAAAACCGTCTAAGGTATGTTAAATAGATGAATAAAAATATTAATATAAAACTTACAGCTACTTGTTACAAATCAAAATCAGATTTAGAAGATGAACTTTCAGAACCAAGATTTATAATAACTGGCCCGATCATTTTATCAGTAATATTGTCCAGCTTCCACATTTTTTTCCTGTTCTTTAATAGTGTGATTTACTGCCTTTTCCCAGTTTTCAGGTTTTACATTATTTACGGCCTCCAAAAACAACTGTTTAACATCATGAATTTTAAAAGTGGTATTTTTTCTTGAAACTTCACTCTTTATCTGTGCCCATACCAGTTCAATCGGATTTAATTCACAATGATATGGTGGGGATCTAAGTACTGTCATTCCACGATTTTTGGCAATTTCATCAATTTCGTATTTTTTAAATTTTTCTTTATGAAGGGCACACAACGAATAAAGTTCCTTTCTTATAGATCCGGGATGGTACGTAATATTTTTTGAACTCAGCCAATTCTGCAAGTCTTTTTTTAACCACTTGGTTGTGGGCAGTCCTTCTAAAAGTCTGGAGTGATAACTTGCATTATCCATTACTATTACACAGTTCTTAGGAAGAAGATCTATCATTTGTTCGAACTATTCTTGAAAGACATCAGCGTTCATGTCTTCATGGTAGTCACCGGTACGAGTTGATTCAAAAGTTAATAAACCACCTTCAACAAAACTGTCTGAACTGCCAATGTGTACTATTATCAGCCTGCGTCCCTTTCCTGATGGTGGGTTTAAACCAGTAGATAAGTTATTTACAAAAGCGTGCCTTTGACTTGTAACAGTATCATCCTGCCAAAATTTATTTGGTGTATGACCCTCGTTGATCCATGTTTCATTAAGATAAAATATTTTTCTTTTTTGGTTTCTCATTTCCTTTATGGTTCTTAGAAAATGTCTTCTCCATATGACAATATCGCTTCTTTCTAATAAAATAGACTTTCTGGGATTCTTTTTCCAGCGGAAGCCTATTTCTTTTAAAAGTTTCCATAACATACTTCGACTCATTTCTGGGTAATCCTTATCATCTCGAACTGAGACAAGAACTTTATCCAATGTTGGAAATTCTTGTCTAAAGAAGAATTCATGCACTTTCCGTCGAAGTCCTTCTTTAAAATGATATTCTATTTGAAATTTTGGTTTCCCTGGAGCATTACGTGGCATTTGAAAACTACCACATTTCTCTTCTTTAATAACTCTGTAAATCGTAGATTTCCCAACACCAAGTGTACTGCTAACTAACTCAACGGTCTCATCAACACTTTCACATAAACGTTTGTCTGTAAATGATTTAAAACAATTAAATATTAATGTTTTTTCATTAACTGTTAAAGGACCAATTTTTCGGCGTTTACACGGCACTTCCAAATTTTCCATAATACTAGTATAGACAATAAACTGCACCTTGCAACTGAAGTACCTACTTTTAGTGAACTGTTAAGAATTTTGAATACGCCACTTGGACCTTCCTACAAAATGGAAAAACCCACTATCACATTTTCTGTGGAATAAGTTTAGAAGGTAATTATCTAGTCAATTACTGTCGTAGATTCCTGGAATTAAATTCATTAATGTTTGATTGTTGAAACCCTTACTTCGTACAATGCACTCATTTCAGATAAAATAAATCGTTTTATTTTATCTAAAGAATTAAACTTTATTTTGCAAATAGGTAGGTACTTATTAAACTTTTAGTGGTTATATATAACCAATAAAATAAAAATCTTACATTTCTTGCAAATTCATTAGTACCTGTTAACCTCCATCACTCCGACACTGGCAACCTTATTTAGGGATTAGTAACCCTCACAACTATTGTATTCTATTCTGCTCCAACCTTTATACCTGGTGGTCATACTCAATTAAAAATTGTTTTCCTATATACTTCTGTAAACTTGTTGACAAATATCTGTTTTTCATTGAGTCACCCGTATCAACAGTTTAGGGATTTGCATACATAATTTATTGTTTTATTACTCTCTCATACATAAAAATACACTATAACGTAAGAAGAAAAAGAATCAATATGTGTAATGATTCATATCATAGTGTTCTTGTTTAATTTTGTTCAGTAGATTCAACTGAAATATATAACAACAATACTGAAACAAAATATAGAAAAGAGAATTAATATAATGTAAAAAAACAATGGGAAAATCCCAGTAGTTGGCTATATATCATAGTTAAAAAATATATACAGAAGTAAAAAACTTCAACATTTGTATCTTGGTATAAAAACATTTAATTCAAAACTTGTTAAAAGTGTCGTCCAAAATTTATGGATGCATAACGTTTTCGATCTAGCTCAGATCACTAACTAACACTAAAATTGCAGCGGAGACATCAATATGTGGTTTTAAATTTAAATTCTAATGCGACCCTAGGTCGATGACAATGGTTGAAGATTTTAATACTTAAAGATCAACATGTTTCTTTGCTCTTTGCTCGACTTAAACACGTGGTTCTTATCAGTTAAAATGACACAGACCAACTGGCTGAGGTGACAGGAAGTAAAATTCAGGAAGACAGCATTAACGTGACGAGGTATGAGTATGATCAGAAACTAATGTAATTCTTTATAAATATAAAATGTTTGTAATAGTACCTAATATCTTATTAGTAAAAGCCTTTATTCGAAACTAAATTCATTTAAATAATAGTATTAATTGTTCTAAGTCTGCAAATCTCTATTATTGAAAAAACAAGTAAGTCAACATAATGCTTCTTTGATATTTATTTGACGTTTATAAATTACACTACTACTACTTTCCTTCTCTCCAACTTGTTCTCGACCTATCTGGTTTTCTTAGGCCTGCTGGTCTGTCTCTCTATTTTAGTATTTCCTTTAATATTCGTTGTTCGTCTAATCTTTGTATATGTCCGAACTAGATAAGTTGTTTTATTGAGAAATTATCTGTGATTGTTACTTTCATTTTCATTATTTCTCTAATGCGTTCGTTGTTAATCCTTTCTTTTCTAAATCATAACGCTCTTCTCCGTCAAAAATTCATTTCCGTTGCCAATGTTCTTTTTTTAGGTGGCCATACCTCACAACTGTATATGGTGGTGACTTTCACTATAGTCTCATCTTTTCATTTTCTTTGTTTATGGATTGGTCCCTTACAATACACTTAGCGCTTCTAAATCAAATGGTAATTACTCTTATTAACGTTTCTAAAAAGTAGTTTATTTTCTTACATTTTTATCGTTTTATTATAATATATAACTCTTTTAGGTATAAGTCTAAAAATATAGACATGAATAAAACGATGGAAGAAAACGGCATTTTAGATGAACGAGACACATTTACACGTTTGGGATTGCCCCAAAATTATTATGTGCCAAGCGTTTTTCTCTACTATAATGATGATTTGAAATACTGCGATTTCGATGACGATGAATGTGAACCATTACCATCAGATTTTGGATTGTGTTGTTTAAAATCACGATTTTAAATAAAATATTTAAAACGTTGTAAAGCTTTTTATGGAAAAATAAAGTATAGAATATATATATATATATATATATATATATATATATATATATATATATATATATATATATATATTGTCATACTTCTTCTTTCCCAACCAAAGAAAAAAATAAATAAAAAGATCCATCGGAATAAAATTTTAAGATATCATTATAAACAAAATGTATATAGTAATTTAAGATAAGATTTAGTGTAGATAAGAATAGAAATTTGTTTGGCAAACGACTTTGTCCGTGTCCAACAAAATGATCGAAAAACCCCTTTTGTGTAGAATTAGAAGACAGAAGATTACCTGTGAAGAATTAGAAGATTTTACCTGTAAGTTAATCTTGTCATTGTTTGTGTATTAAATGACCAGATTCTAATCTTTGGAAACAGGTATAAATTGTGTATTAACAGAATGAGGACAAAAAAAAATCAATTTTATTTATTCTTTCTCTGAAACAGTAATTTGGTTTTACCAAATGATACACAGAATTTTTAGAATAAACATTAACAGTAGTAAACAAGTTTTGAGCTTTTTGATTGGATAGTCGTTTTTAAATGGTAATGGGCTTAGCCTGGTTAGGACACCGGGAGCGAGGCAGTTGTAATTTGGCTATCGAAGAAAACAGTCGTTTGTTTAAAGATAGAGTGTGGTTCGTGAGTTTGGATACCGGCATTGTGAAAAGAAGTGAATAGTTGCCGCTCGTTGATTTTCCATCTGTTGTCGGTAAAAATTACCCGAATCAAAGGAATCACGCTTATTCGTACACTTGCGAATAAGCGTTGTCTATACTTGCAGAGGAGCTCAAACGAAATGTATAAATAATTGGCAGTTACTGCGACTATTCATTTAGTTTTCAAAGACCTCAGAAGCTAACCTTATTTGTGTATTTTTTTAATTGAAATGGAATGCACAAATGCCGTTGTAATGCAGTTTCTTGATTTTTATAAAAATAATCCGGTCAGTTGTATGACCAAACATAAAGAACATAAAAATTGTAATGCGGTTAATGATGCCTAAAAAAATACAAGATAACATATCGGTCCAGTGTACTATAAATGAACTGAAAAAAAAAAGATTCACTAATGGAACCATAGTTTAAAGGTTCTCGTTTGAGATCCTGCAACATTAGGGTGTCGCTATATCTATAAAAAAGATTTATATATATTTTTTTCAGTTTCTGTATTTTCAATGCTATTTTAGTGAATAATCATACACCTGCGGAAGCAACAACAAGATTTCTCGGACGACCTCTATCCATATTGACTGTCACACCATTGATTTAGTTCTTAAGGTTTTTAAGAATACTTGCGTATACTTTTTCAAGGCGAAGAACTCAAAGGTTTTGTACAGAAGTAAAGGAAAAATGTAAAGAAAAGATAAAAGCTTACCTGAAATATATGTTGACCAAAACACAGGAGGCATACCATAATTACAAGAATTATAAACGAAACACATGTACTTGCAAGAAAAATAAAAAATAATTACTGGGAACGCTTTTAGAAAGTAATGGAACATGACTTTTACAGTCTGCAAAAGGAAAAATGGCGCTCTATAAGAGGTCAAAGAACGGAGGTAAAGGAACTAATGGAACCAAAATACATAGAAAAGGATACGTGCCCCATGCTCTTCAATTTTATTATGGATAAAATCATCAAAAGCGGTAACAAAGGAAGGGGATACAGAACGGGAAACAAAAAAAAAATAAAAAAACTGTTACGCAGACGACGCAATACTGATAGCCCTAGATGAAGATAGTCTGCAAAGAATGGTCCACAGATTTAACATAAAAGCATAATAATTTAATATGACAATCTCATTTCAGAAAACTGAAACAGTAGTAGTCAGCAAAGAACCAACCAGATGTAAAATAGAAATCGGTGGCATCAGTATTGAACAGGTAATGGAAATAAAATACCTGGGAATTACGCTATCTAGCTATGGAGACCTGGACAAAGAAGTGAGAGATCAAGTACAAAAAGCAAATGGACTGGAAGGATGGCTTAATAACAATATATAGCGAAACAGACATATTAACAATACTGAGATGAAGTCAATAATTTATAAAGCCAGTGTAAGACCAATAATTATATATGCCTCAGAAACAAGACCCGACAGAGCCACAACGCAAAGGCTACTGGAAACGGCAAAGATAAGAGTACTGCGAAGAATTACAGGAAATACGCTGAGAGATCGAAATGGAAGTGAAGACATTAGAAGAAAATGTAACGTACAGTGTATAAATAAATGGACACAAAATAGAAAAAAAAAAGAATGGAATCACCATATAAGCAGAATGAAGGAGACCCATGTCGTCAAAATAGCAAGAGATAAATCACAAATCGACAGAAGAAGTATCGGACGACCGCGCAAAAGATGGAGTGACAACCTTCCATAGAGGTATTAATCAACCAATCAACAATCAGAATTGCTTATAAAGAGGAAGAAGGAAAAGAAGATAAACTCGTCGCTACTGATGAACTGAAATATGTTGTAATGATATGTTGTAGTTCTATCCAATGAAATGCTCGCTATAATATGAATCGCATGTCAAGAAAATCTGAATATTCGCTATAAATTTCTTGAAATTTAAAATATTGAAACAAAAAGAAAATTGCGTACAACCTTTATTGTTTGACTTTTCCTATATTTAACTTTTTCTTCAGCCTTCATTTATCCAATGTTGGACATAGGCCTCCTCCAATTGCTTCCACGCTTCCCTATCTTTTGCAATTCTCATCCACTGCTTTCCAGCTATAGCAGTTATATCGTCTATTCATCTTTTTTAGGTCTTCCGACGCTTCTTTTTGTTTCTCGAGGTCCCCAGAATGTCACTTTATGAAACCATCTGTTAGTGTCTTGTCTTGCTACATGTGCTACCCATTGCCATCTCAGTGTCGCTATTTTTCCCATGACGTCGGTTACTTTAGTTCTTCGACGTATTTCAGTGTTAGGAATTTTGTCTCTGAGGCTTATATTTAACACGGCCCTCTCCTTGGCCCGTTGAGTTACTCTTAATTGTTCTGCCATTTTTCTTGTTATTGCCATAGTTTCCAATCCATAAGTTGCAACTGGTAGTATACAAGTGTCATAGGTTTTCCGTTTTAAGTGAATTGGGATTTTTCTGTCTTTTAAAATGAAGCTCAACTTACCAAAAGTAGCCCATGATAATTATGTCCTTTTATTTTCTAGGGTTTGATTTTCCTTTTCGTTTTTAATTACATGTCCTAGATATATATATATATATATATATATATATATATCTATATATTGTTCTATCTTTTCTATATTGGTGTTATCTATCGTGATGTTTTCTAGGCTGTTGCTTAATATCTTTGTTTTGTCGAGATTCATTTTTAATCCTATTTGATTCGATTTGTGATTTAAATCTTGTAGCATTAATTTTAGTTCATGGATATCTGTGCTTATTAGTACTATGTCGTCTGCAAAACGCAAATGGTTAAAATATACTCCATCTATTTTTAATCCATTTTCGGCCCAATTTAGTTGTTTGACAACATTTTCTAATGCCAAAGTAAATAACTTTGGTGAGATGGTGTCGCCCTGTATCACAAGGTCTATTTTCATAGTTTCCAGATCATCATCTATTTTTACGTGAAAAGTAGCATCATCGTATATATTCTTAAGGAGGGCAGCATATCTTGAATCTACTCTGGAGTCGTCCAATGCTGTTAATAAAGCCCATTTTTCGATACTGTCGAATGCTTTGTGATAATCGACAAATGCCAGATGTAGTGATATGTTGTACTCTATTGTTTTTCAATAGCTGTCCGAATTGTTTGCAAGTGATCGATAGTGCTAAAACCCTTACGAAAGCCTGCTTGCTCCACTGGTTGGTATGCATTTAGTTTAGCTGTCAATCTATTTGTTATTATTCGGGTTAGTAGTTTGTAAAGGTGTGACAATAAGCTTATTGGTCGTTAGTTTTCTATATTTGCGGCGTCCCCTTTTTTATGGAGTAGAATGACTTCCCCATTTTTCCATGTCTTCGGTATTTGTCCTTCCAAGAGGCATTTATTCGGTAATGCTCTTATTGCCTCTTCTAATGCAGTGCCTCCCATTTTTAGTATCTTTGAAGTAATTTTCTTTCTTTCTTCAATCTTCTCCTGGTGTTTTCCCATTTTTCATTTGTTTTAGGGCGGCTCTAATTTCTGATGTTATTATTTCAGGGAAGTCCTCTGAGCCCACATTTAAGACATGTTTTGTTGGTACACCGGTGTTCAGAATAGTAGAAGTATCCAGCTTCCCATAAAATTTTCGGATTTCTCTAACGATCTCTTCCTAATGCCAGCACAATATTCCACGGTCGTCTTTTATCTTTATGATTTTATATTACATCTCCATTTTACATTACATTTATATGATTTATGATATTTAACTTACGGTTACCATATTTTATTAAGGAAGATTCATTTTTTGTTATTTTTACGATACCGTTCAAATATAAACATTCAATTTTTTTACAGGCAAGCAGTTACAGTGAATAGCAGTTTCTTATTTAAAATTATTAGTTTTATTAATAATAACAACCTTTATTGTCCACAAGTTGACTTGATCATTTTCACAATTTATATTATACATATATATTATATATACATATATATATATATATATATATATATATATATATATATATATATATATATATATATATATATATATATATATATATATATATATATATTAATAAAGTATTCAACTAGTGAATTCAGAGGTTTATTCGGTCAGTCAGGTTGGCAAAATAAAAAACAGAAGTCAACTACATCATAAGTTTATAGAAGACGTTTCGCTTTATACTTCTAAAGCTTCATCAGTTCTCTAAAATACAAAGATGACATAGAGTTTATAAGAAATACAGATATAATAATTTATTACTTACAACTCAATATGTAGTATTAAAGATGTTATCGTATATGTACTTAAGTTTACTCATAAATTTAGAACTAACTTAAAAAAAAAAAT